AAATACTTTTACAAGGGTATTACGTAGCCCATTCTTGCAATAAATCATGTGTAAATAATTACACAAATTTGATTGAAGCTTTACTATTACGCTTTGTTATCATTATATCTCTTGAATCCCTTTGAATCTCACAGCTTTCATAATACGATTTGCTCGAAGAAAAAATGTCTGAAATTAAACGTTGCACGGAATGTAAAACCATTAAATCAGCTAAATTCGTCAACTGAAAGGCAATAAATGGAAAGAAGCTGAGAACAACAACTTAGTAAAGGTAACGTGGACAGAAGGTGTTGTTTTATGTAACATTTGTTTGATTTTTCATGCGTTGTTCACTTTTCGTCTCGATCATGTACCTTAATTTCGTTGTGTTTACGATCATTTCATTGACATTCGTTATGTTAAGGTTATTTTGATTATATCGTCAAGAGAAGATTAGGAAGAGAGTTATTCTTCAACCAAGTCAAAAACCAACCCTTTAAATGCATTTTCGAGTAGTACGATTTAATTTATTAGACTGTTTCGATGGTTTGTCGCGTGGTTGCTTCCAACTTCTTAAGTTCGTTAACGAAATAATTGATTGTTGACAAAATGAATCAAACCCATATTTATTTCTACGTTATCAAATTCACGATTTTAATTGGTCAATTAACAAATTGCGTGAGTTAAAATTTTGTGTTCTCTTGTTGATGATCTGTCTATATATTACTAATAATAATAATAAACATATATGGAAAATCATATCGTCATTGTACACCACCATCTTGGAATGTTCTAGTAAATTTTTACGTGAGAAAACTGCTAGGTCAATCTAGAATTATTTAAAAGGTAATAAATTTTTTTGTTGCTTTTTTTGTTAATAACATATTTTCATTTTTTAAATTCAAATAATTTAAACCAAATTTAATATTTAAACAAAAATGGGGAAGGATTATTATAAAATTTTGGAAGTTGACAAGAAGGCCGATGAAGAAACTCTTAAAAAAGCTTATAAAAAATTAGGTAAGTATTATTGATGGATTCCAAAAATGGCAAAGAAAACACACATTTATTTACTTTATAAATAATAACACAAAATAGCACTTAAATGGCATCCAGACAGACATCAAAATGATAAAGAGCAAGCAGAAATCAAGTTCAAGGAGATAAGTGAAGCTTACGAAGTATTAAGTGATAAACAAAAAAGGGAGATTTATGATATATATGGTGAAGAAGGTCTGAAAGGTGGTGCTCCACCACCATCAAGTGGTGGCGGCGGTGGTGGTTTTAGTGGCACATTCCCAGGTGGTTTCCCAGGAGGCCAAACATTCACATACACTTCAACAGGTAAATATTTTTTTTTTGCTTCCAATGACAAAGATTTTGTTTTAGAATCAAACTTGTTGATATTTATTTATTAAATTAATACAGGAGGGTCAGGCGGGTTTAAACCATCGGATCCTACTTTCATATTTAATGATTTCTTTAAAAGTTTTGGTGGAGATGATGAATTTCCATTTCCTGGGTTTGGTGGTGGCAGCGGAGGTACAAGGTTTGGTGGTAAAAGATCAGCAGATATGAGTGATTTCTTTGGTAGAGGGCATGGTGATGGTTCAGGAACACCAGAAGTTAAATATACAATTTCATTAACACTTGAAGAAATACACAAAGGCATTATCAAAAAACTTAAAGTCACTCGAAAGATAATTGATGGTGCAACTGGTAAACAAGTACCAACTGACAAAATTTTGGAAATCAATGTGAGACCTGGCTTGAAAGCTGGTACAAAATTCAGATTCCCAAATGCAGGTGATGAATTACCAACTGGTGGGTCACAAGACATTGTTGTGATCTTGGAAGAAAAGCCTCATCCAATATTCACAAGGAATGGTGATGATTTATCAGTAAAAATTACATTAACTTTACTTGAAGCTCTTACAGGCTTCAAGAAAACCATACAAACTTTAGATGGTAGAACGTTGGCAATATCTAATTACATTAGTGTTATAAAACCTGGTCAAGAACAAAGATTTGCAAATGAAGGTATGCCAACTAAAGAACCAACAAAAAAAGGCGATTTATTAATAAAATATGATGTTAAATTCCCTAACAAATTAACTGATCAACAAAAACAAGAACTCAAGAAGGTTTTAGCAGGAGTTTCATAGACATTTATTTATAATAATTAATCTATTATTATATATTATTTAATTATTATATATAGTTATTTTATATCACCCTTTCTTTTTTTTTTTATATAAAATTATCATTGCTTTAACTATCAAATTTTTCTGATAATAAATAGAGCATTATAAACATTATATAAACATGATATTCTATGTAATTAATTATTTCATGTAAAATAAAATCAGTTTTTCAATAGATAAATAAATTTCAAAAAAATTTTTGCAATCAGATTTGGATTTCAATATGCTATATATATGTTATGTATGAATTATCTATTACACACATATCAATGATAAATTTTTTTAAAGGCTCCAATTATAAAAATTGAAAGAGGTACTATTGAACTTGCTCTCTCATAATCATTCAATAATCGGTTAATTTATTCAAAGTATGCTAAAATATATTATTATTTCATAAAAATTCATTTTCTAAATGCTATAAGAATCATAATGGCTACTGGCTTTATATAATTAGAACAACAATATTAGAAACTTATGCAAAATAACTGATGTAGAGAAGGAAGCATAGAATTTAATAAATCCTTTTATTTAAATGATACCTTTTACAATTGGTAGAATTGTCAGGGAAATTTATTTTACAAGTTGCAGAAGATGATTTTCTTTTTTAAGATTTGGCATTATTCTGATGAATGAAAGGTTAATCAACTGTTTAATGGAGAAATTATTGACTTTTATAAACAATAAGTAATTTTATATTATAAAAAATTTATTATAATTTGAATTACTGATATATTACTATAACTTAATTGAAAAATGGCATCTTTAACATCATTTAATCCTGGCACGTACGTATATTTAATTAGAAGATTTGCATAAAAATTAGCCAATTATAAACTAGGAAATACTATTTATGATAACATCAATATCATTAACAATGTTAACTTGTATCGACAACCACTGAACCACAAAAATGTATTTTGAAGCTAGAATCATGGTGGATTCCATTAAAAGTCAGTAGATATAACATGTATTTACACACACACATGTGTCAAAAAATATATTAACATTTATTTTAAAGAATTCTATTTAATGATGAGGTTAGCTACTAATAACTATCCAGCACTTAATTTTTATACAAATCCAGAAGAGGTATACAACTATTTTCTTCGAATGATGATTTTAAAAATAAAGATTATTAAAACTAGTAGTATTAATTATTTTGTAACTCATACTGACAGTTAATTACAAAATGGATAAACCAATGAAAGTGAATTTCACCAGAGATTTTTTCACCTCATATAACATTAAACAGTCACTGTTATTGTGTACAAAGTGCAGTAATTAAGGGCATTTTTAAAAAAGAGTTTAAAGACTTTGAGGAGGTTGATGAATTAATTATTAAAGCAAAGCCTGATGGTGATGGTGACGGGCCACCAACCTGCTCTGAATTGTGACCTCCTGTGCTTGGAACGAGTTGCAGATTCTCTTGATATTCCTCCAGAGTTGCAACTTGATCACAGTGCCATCCTTGCCCTAGAGTAGGCAACTTTTTGGCCAGCATGCCAGCGGCCATCTCTGGTCTGGGAAGATTAGTGAAAACATCCATGACGATCGATGCAATCTTGGTAAATTCCAAAGCCACGCAATACCCTTGGAATTCTGTTGCATCATTGTATCATCGATCAATCAG